CCCCCCCCCCCCCACCCCCCAACCGCCCCCCCACACCCCAGAAGCAGACAAAAACAAGCATAACCCGCGGGTCAATGGTAGTGCGTTAGCAACAACAAGTACAGAATCAACCAACTGCCAACTGCCACAAGGTGCAACCACACAGCCCCTCCGGTTTTCGAAGAAGTAGTCATATAATAATAAGCTGTGTGCATGTGCTTTTTAACAGATATAGTCAGGTAATGACAAATCACACGAACATGAGGGGTCTCTGCAGAACGCCTTTAAACGTAACTAGGGGTATCGGTTGCACCTGTGCATGGGCGCGGCGGGAGAAGACCCTGCTGTGATGAAACTTGGATTTGGCTGCATGTGTACATGTCACCCCCCCCCAATAATTGTCGCTGTTGGAGTCTTCCTGCCTTTGCCGCGCTTGCCACGCAACATCAAGCATGCTTCGCAACCGGGATATCTTTTGAGATGAAATGGGGCTGAGTTTGTTGGTGGCGGGAGCTGAAAGTTGCCTTAAATAGCGCGGCCACAAGGACATGCCATATGACGACATGGGCAACCCCTCGGAGGGGCACTTCACAAAGCCCTTGCGCTGTCTGAGCGCCACTCGCTCCAGGCCATGAGAGAAGCAAGTCGCCTCGCAGGAGCCACGGCAATCCAATCCACTCCGACTACAGAAGCTGACAAAGCATCTCGTGTACCAGAGCCAGTCAATTACCTGAATTACCTTCTCTTCGATATAAACAAATAAATAATCAAATAAATAAATAAATAAATATATATATATATGTATATATTATACATACATATCTTCTTCTTCCCCAGGGCATAGGGGACGGGTCAGGCCCCCCGGCCTATTGGCCCACCATATGTTATGAGGCTTTCGGGGGGTGTGAAAGATCGTTCGAGTTTCGGATATTTGGAATATCTCTCTCTGTCTCTCTCTCTCTCTCTCTCCCGCCCATGTTTGCTGCAAAAACCCATCACAACTTCTCCACTGCAACCACCAATCCTGGAGTGACCGCGGTGTGACGAGAGAAGGAGCGCGGCCAAAGAAGCCGGATGCACCTCCTGCTGTTCCTCGAAATCGTCGAGAATTGAGACTGGGGTTCAATGAGCGCAGGTGGCGCTGGTGGTGCTGCTGGCGTCTAAAGTCGACGTTTGAGTTGAGGATGGCATCAGACTTGAGCGGCCCACCAACTTGACCCCGCCACGATTCGACACGGACTGCGGAGAGGTGGCCTGCTGCCATGACTGGCCACCTGCCGACCTTCCAGGCTATTACGCGTCCTGCCACCTTAGCAGGTCCGCAGGTGCTGCCGCCAGCGCCACGTCAGATGAGGAACCGGAAGGCTTCAAACCATGTGGGCAGCCAGGACAGCCCCCCCCAGGCCGAAACTTTCTGTTTTGTGACTTCCGGTGTTATCCAAACGAGGAGAGCCAAAAAGAGATTGCCGCCCCCCCGGGCGGGCGCCTCTTGGTAGGCACCGGGAGTCATGGAGATGGACTCGCCCTGTTTGCCGCAGGCTTTGCGCACGGCTGCAGGCAGGCTTGTGTGTAACAGAACCGATCGCGCCATCGCCTTCTCCATGAGATCCTGGATCGTCGCTGCTCGAGTGTCGCGAATGGCTCCATGCCTGGCAAACACGAAGCTGGCTCCCCTGAAACAGAAAACACTGTTGTCATTGGATCCTGAATGGGTCCGATCCCTGAGATCATCTTGGCACATAAAGTGGTTCTTGGAAAGCCGCAGAACATGAGTTGAGGTGTGTCGTTCTGAATTTGGATGCTATGTCTGCTATGTAGCCTTGTGTCGATTCCGCCTGAGGCAGCATTGGTAATTGAGATGTCTTGGGTTGCGACGGTACTGAGCCCGAAGCGAAGATAAGAACTGCATCTTTACACTGACAGGGGAGAGGGGAGCCCCCAAGCCACGGAGGGAAGGGGCACGCGATAGAAAGAGAAGGATGCTGGCCGTGACGAGCGCTTCTGTTGCCCATCCACTCAATCTATATGGCACCCTGGCCTGTCAATTCTCTCGACAAAATTGCTTTCTTTTTTGGAGTTGCTGTCCTGTTGCATAAAGGAGAACGATCATGCATCAAGAGGTGCGTCAAGCCAGCTGCGGAAAGGAAGATTGGCAAAACCTAGAAGCATGCCTTCTTTCTTCCTCTCTCAAGGCCAAAGAGACACAGAGGAACTCAGCGCAAGTTTGCCAAGAAGGCTGCAAACAGCAGAGGCTCGAAAGGTGGAGCCGGCTCGGCGGTCCCTCGAAGGCATCCAAGAAGAACTTGGCCAGCAAGCCCTTGTTCCTGCGCCCACAATCAACCCCAAGAGCGCCACTCAAAAACACAAGAAGATTCGTGGGGAAAGAGCAAAGGCAGCAAAGGTGTGTCCGCAAGGTGGGATCGATGAGATACTTGCAGTGACCAACCACCTCCAAAGACGTCCACGGGTCTGGCGAAAAAGCTCTCCCCCTTCCATGCCTCATGAAACTTGCGGCCCCAGACAACCTGAGGGACTTTCCCCAACATGCGGCCATCCCGTGACCTGCTTCTCCAGTGCTGCAAGGCTGCGTTTGAGCAAAACCCCACGGAGAGAATGCCTGCAGGTCACTGCAGGTCGATAGCAGGTGAGCTCGCCGCGACTGAGGCTTCGGCCGTGCGGGTGGCAGGCGAAGAAGCGGCCGCCCGCTTTCTCAGAGCCCAAGGCCTCCTCATCGTCAAAGCGCAGCTCGCTGCCTGCAAAAAGGCGCAGCTGAGAGAGTCCGCGGCACTAGTGTCCACTAGAGTCAGCCAGGGGGCGCTGGTGGTAGCCCTGGTAGCCCTGGTACTGGAACTCCAGGAGCTGGCGAAGTGGCGACTGGCCCTTCAGAGCTGCGGAAGTCGGCGCCGCGCCTTGGGGCTGGGCGCACAGACGCGCCGCCGAGCGTTGAGCAGCGTCATCCAAGACGCCACCTTGGGACGACGTGAGTACATGCGCATGTGCGTGCGTGCTGTGTGTACATGTGATTACATGTCGTGTATATGCAATGGTGCAGCAGAGTCCTTGCCGCACCCCGCCGTTCCAAGACTCACGTCGCGCCGCAGGTGGCAAGTGCGGTCGGAGGAGGATTTGCAGGCAGTCGCTGCTAAACTCCCTCTCGAACTCTGTTTGCATGCACCGATGGAAGAAAATGGCAGACCTCAAGCTGCCAGGATAGTGCCATACCACTGTAGCTCCAAGGTGTTACGACCACTGTGTAGTGCAAGTGTTGTTCTGGGCAACAGTGTCTTGGTTGAGGTTGTGGGGTGCTGTCAGGTTCTGTCTGCATTCTCTCGGAAACCGACGGGGAAGAACAGACTGATTCTAATAGTGGAACACCATTTGCAAACAGTAGCAGCATACGTAGAACGAAGAGGAACGTTGCAGAGAAAAGTGATCGGAAGCAGAGTTGTTTCTGAACAGTTGGCGTCTTGGGCGCTTTGCACCCCTCAGATGCGGTTTGCCTTCGCTTTGGAAATGATGGGGTGGGGGAGAGCGACAAAGTCTGAGAACGGGTCAAGCAACGACCGCCACGTAGCGCAACAGCCCTAGAACCACACAAAAACCCGCAGAACTGTAGGAGCTTCGTTTGACACGCTGGTGGTTGCTTGCCATGGTTTCCCACACTGTCGCAGAAGAAACTAGCAGCATGGTGGGAGAAGACATTGCTGGGAAAAAACGAAGGTGCTGTGAGATTGCATGAGGGTGCATGGTGCATGTGCTAAGCGGTCACTACCGGTTTTCAGTGTCACCGATCGTGAAGGCTTCAGAGCTCCGATCCTGTGCCCATGATTTGGGGCGGCCTTGCCGCTTCTCCGAAGGCGACTTTCCGCTCTGAAAACGGAAACGGCGGCCTTGGCGGCCCCCCTTTCTCCCCCTTCTTCTCTTCGCCTGTGCTTACGCCGCTGGCGGCCCCGCCGCCGCGCAGCGGCACCTCTGTGGTTTGAGATTCGTTGTAGCAAAAAGACCTGCGCCCAGCAGCACATCCTCAAGGGGGCCCAAAAAAGGGCCTCCTGGCTGCCAAGCCGATTTTGGCCACGCTTCCGCGCTCGCCGAGTTTTCGGGGGGAAGGCTTCGGTCCAGCATCGCACGCTCCTAGCCAGTCTTTGAAATTTAAAGGGTTTAACTATGCTCAATGTCTTGGATAAACATGGACACACATGGCCGAAGCATGGCATGAGAGGAGACGCGCAACTAAGGCTGATGGCCTGTCTAAGTGGGGCCAAGCAGCTGCGGCAAGCAAGAAGGCCGGCCCTGCCCGTGCCAGCAGCGCGGAGGAAAAGGAGACCTGAGATGTTCTGGCTCCCGCGTTGTTCGACGGTTCGCGGCTTTCAGGGTGTTGAGGGGGGGTCGGTGCAGCAAAGGAGCGAGGACAACGGCCACAGTAGCGAAGAGCTGGTCGACCTGACAGAGACACAAACACCCCTCCCCCGCCTTTGCCCCGGCCCGCTGTCTGAAACGTGCAGCAGGGAGAGAGACGCAGCAGCGCGGTCGCGGTGGGGTGGCTCTTTTTGGTGTGGTGGAGCCGGCTCTGCGCAGAAACTCTCGGAGTCCGAGTCCGAGTCACGGAGCTCCAAGGCGTCTCCGGTGAAAACCCTGCAAGCCCTGCTGTGCAACCCTGGCCCAGCCTGAACCAGGACGGCGAACATGGAAACCGCCGTCAGCAGCGACTTGCACCATCCCATCTGTCAGGCAGCACAAGACAAACGGGCCCTTCGCTTATTCGAACCCACCATTCCCAAAATCTTGGGCCCCCCAGCATGCGGCTGCAGTGACCCTCCAAGGGCCAGCATCAGCAACGGGATGGACGTGACCCATGCCGAGCCTGCAATGAGAGCTGAGATTTTTCTAGGACGAGCAGCATGACCTCCATACAATCGCTGCCTCCGAATCACAACACAGCAGCTGAAAAAGCCCCGGAGCCCTGGAGCTCAGTGCCGATTGCCTTTTCCCCGAGATGCCGAAGCCGAAGCCCACAGCTGCTATGCTAAAGTGGTAAACAAGGTCCGAGTGCAGACGCGGCCCTCTCGATCGGACGGATCGCTTCGTCTCTCGGTTGTATGAGTCCCGACTCGACTCGAAGACTCTCCCACAATCTCCCACTCTCCCACCTGAGGCAAGGTAGAGCAAGCAGCACCTGCCAAGAAGGGAAAAACACAAAACCCCCGACGCCGACACCACGTCTTTGACGGTGGTACGTGCTGCAGAGGGCAAGTGCCAGGGCGCGCCTCCACCAGGGCACGGCCTTGGACTCGGCCTCGGGGCTCAGAGCTTTTGAGAGGTCTGCAGTCACGTCGGACTCTGCCTTCGAGGCTCCAGCCATGGGGGGAGCACCCCCACGCGGGGCAGCTGGCCCCGGCCGCCCCGGGCTTTCGGCCGCTAGGTCTGGACCGGAAAGACGCTCTCTTCTCACTGAGGCCACTCTCTCCCCGACTCCCTACTCTCAGGCACTCGGAGGCTGCTTGTGCAAGTGACCTCTGCTCTCGCTCTCGCTTTTTTCCCATCGCTAGAGGTACACGGGCAGGACGCCCTCGATGGGTGAGCGGCAGATGTGGCAAGGCCTCGATAACAGCACTGTTTTGCAATGGTTCGAGAGAGCGGCCTCTAAGCACCGGGCTGAGCCAGGTCCACCAGTCGGGTGGTACAGTCCCGACAGGCGGTGTGCCCGCACCTGAACCGGAAGAGGGGCGAGCCACGCGGCTCGCTGCAAGCTTTGTCTCGGGCGCCTTTGCAGGGCCACCCGGACGAGAACCTCGTTCTGGCAGATGGGGCAGGGCGAAGAGGAAGAGGACGTCGTGTAGCTCGCGTGACTCGCGATCTCGTTTTGACCTCGAGCTCTATGAACCGCAGAAGAACAAAAAATGCAAAAAACTCTCTCGGCTGGCAGCTCTCTGCTAACTCTGGCAGTTGGCCTGGGGCCGCCGAACCCAACGGAACAAGTGGGATCTGCGCCTCAGCCGCCGAGCCGCCGCTGCACATCCGAGCCGACCCGAACCGGAGCTCTGCCCCCCCGCTCTCGCTCTTTTGGCTCGGCTTCCCGCCAGCTGCGTTCGGAGCTCCTGGGTTCGAGCCTCAGCGAAAGACAAAGCCCAGCAGTTTCACCCTTTGCCCTCTCCTGTGCCTGGGCAGCTGCTCGCTCCTGTCGACGTTGTTGCAGCTCCTAGCCATGGCTTTTGCCCACCCCCCGGCCGGGCAGCGCGGCAAGTCCGGGCACAGCCTCCTGGGCTTCGTGGCGCGCTTGCAGGAGGGCGCGATTGCGCCCGAAGCCACCTCGTCGCCGACTCGCCGCGATCCCGCCGCGAGATGGGAGAAGGAGGAGCTGCTGAGCTCGGCTGGGCCCCCGGGCCTTGAGAGGCGCACTGCTTCAGCACGCACATCAAGAAGAGCAAAGCAAACCTCAGAGAGACCGAAACTGCCACAGCTCTCCAGGTCTCGCTCTTCACTTCGCTCTTCTTTTCGATGCGGCCTTGGAGACCTTCATTGAATCATACTGGCTACCACTTCAGCTCTGTATGATGAACGGGGTTGTTCGGCGAGGAGTGCAAGGCCAGCGCAACGCCTATTTGAGCCTATATTTGTGCCCGATAAACAGTGCAGGACTGGTGCCGTGCTTTGCAAAGGATGGCGGTTTCTATTCCGGCATTTCCACACCTGCGCCAACTCGTGCTCTCGCCATGCTGGGTCGTGGCCCCCAGATCTGTGCGCTTCCGACTCATGGCGTGGTCTGGGTCCCTAGCTCCTAGGTGTTCTTGCAATTTGTTCAAGCGCTCACACAATGCAGGCTCGCATCCGCGCCAGCTTCAACAACCACCCCCCGAACTTTTCCGATAGAACGACAAGCGAAATAAGCCTTGCTTGTCTCGCAACTCTCGCAAACTCTTACTCTCAATGCTCGACAAGCTTGGCGTCGCACATGACAAGAATGATGAATTGTCCTTGAACAGTGCGGCGGTCGCAAGCGAAAACCCCCAATGCATTGGCTTGTCAAGGATGTTGGGGATTTTCTGGGGGGCGCCAGCATACTTCAGTCTCCGTGCAGGATATACAATTCGAACTAGAGTACGAGTACGGCAACATTGATTGAAGACGCAAACGTGCTTGGTAGTGACGTGTCATGCATGCATACGTAGGCATTGCGCCGCGCAGCACAGACTCATGTTGCCACGATCGACATGGCTCAAGCAATGGTGCACAAATCGAGAAGCATAGGCGTTAAACTGCAGATGAAGAAGCGGCAAGGAATCACAGCAATCATCCGGGTCCGGGTGGATGGGGCCTGTTCGGAGCACGGTCCATGACTTTGCTTCTGAAGCACTGGATCCTGGAGCAATTGTCACTTTAGCGACAGGTGGATGAACTGAGGTGCGACCGCCTTTTGACTCACTCGCAGCACACACTAAGGGGCAGTTCCTTCAGGGTTCCTTGTGCCAGTGGCAAGATCAGAAAGCACAGTTATCACCAAAATGCAAAGTGGTGGCTCCACTCAACAGCTCCCCATAATTCATGCCGATCTTGCGTTCTACACAAAATGCGTAGCCTAGCATCAGGGCTTCCTCCTTCAGCTCTTCTTGGCTGAGGAGACGGTGGGCCGCAGCTCTAGAACGAGAGCGGCCGTCGTGACGCTTCAGCTCGCTCTTCTCATCGTCGATGTGTAGGCTACCGCTCCTCAGGAGGTGGAGTAGAGCTCCATTGCCCTTTGTGATGTCGGCCTTGGTGAGCATGTCAGCGGCCATACGCTGGTGAGAGGTCCACCTCACCAGCCTTCCTCCTCGACACATGGCGTCAATGATTGACGCCAGCTCTAGTGCCGTGCCGCGGTCCTGTCGGCTGGCCGGGTGGCATTTGATCAGCGCGTCGAACAAGGACTTCGCATCGGTGATGCCGCACTGTGGTTGCCGCCCAGACAGAGCGCCCTCATACCTTCTTGTCCCAGGTCTCGGCCTGGACGTCTCCATGGACCATGTCCCGGTAGAGCACTTGGAGCCACTCAATCTCTCCAAGGCACTGAGCAAAGGCTAGCGTCTCCGAGGCAAGGGTGGAGGTGACTCGTCGCTTCAGCTTGGACGAGAGCAGCGACACCTTCAGGCTCTCGTCGTGAGAGGGCATCCGGGCGCTCCCTCCGTCTGCCATCCACCTGCGTCGCTCATCCCGACAAAGCACATCTCCAACGGATCGAAGCGCCGCAGCCGGATGCCTTGTTTGGGGGTTGAGCGGAGATGCCCCACCATCTTGTTCAAGATGATCACGTCACTCACGGTGGCACGTGGAAGTCTGGAACTCAAGATGGAGGCCTGAAGGCCTCCATCTCGCGTTCCGTGAGTGGGCTATCCTTCTGGGCCCGGCGGTTCTTCGACAGGTGACCGGGGTTCAGCTTCTCCAGGACATACTTTTCCTGGCGCATGAACACATCGGTGATCTTCACCCGGCGTACGAGGCTGGGCTGCAACGTTAAAGTCGTCGACCTCCAGGAGGATCATGGCGCGCGGTCGGCTCCTTGAGGGGGTCCTGCTTCAAGAAGAGGCAGGGGAGCGATTTCCGGAAGCCAAGCTCGCCACACAGGAACTCCCGAACCATCTCGGCCCAACACACCGGAGCATCCTCTAATCCGTACACCGCCACCAGAAGTTCCACCCCGGCTCAGCGTCGATGCCGGGGCAAGGTTCAGCAAACAGCCTCCCAGCAGCCCGTTGCAGCTTCTTCCCCTGGCAAAATGCCGAGGCGACATCGCCAAATACCACGTTCAATCGTAGGTTCAGGGACGGCTGGAAGAACAGGTTGATGATCTCAGCCTGTGGGGTCGGACCAAAGGTGCGGAGGTTTTCGGAGTCGGGGTCGTCGAACTTCAATACACACCATCTCGATTTGTATGCGGCTCCGAACTGTTCCCGAAGCTGCTGCGCGTCTTTGCTGCGCCAAACCTTCACCGCGTTCATCCCCAACACGCTGTTCCACTCCACCCGGTCTGAGCCCTCAAAGCCCTTGAGCTCCTCCGCGGTGGCCCTCTTCATGTCGAACTCGGCGCTCCTGCACACCACCAACCAGGTCGGGCACACCCTCCTCGTTCTTCTCCAGGCCCCCCAGTCGGCAAAGTCTCCCTCACCATCCTCGTGTCGGGTCTGGCTCAGTTCCTCAATCTTCTCGTTGAGAGTCTGGCCGCTCGACGTGCTCTGTTGTCCCTCTCAGCCTTCTCCTTCATCTCTCGAAGTTGTCTGGGCCCGAGCAAGTGCTTCCTTCTGGGGCCGGGGCACTGAGACCTTCGGCGGCCATTCCCATCATGCCCGTGGTGAGGGCCGTGCACCTCCTCCTGAATCATGGTGCCCATGCCGTTCGTCACCTGCTGGTTGCTCTGGGCCATGCCGGTCAGCACTGTTGGTGCACTGGGCCATCGCCACTTGAGCTTGCCCCGACTCCACAATCTGGGTGCGGCGCTCCAGGGCACCTCCGGGGGCCTTCTTGCCCGCCTTGGTGGGTGGCTTGGCTGGGTGAGGCTGATTTTGGTTTGACAAAGCAGACATCGCTGCCAGGAGCCATAATGATTTGCCCCATTGACCACGGACTCGGCCGGGTGGTTGCATGTTTGGCTCGCCACCGGCTCCTGACTGTTAACCTGCTTGCGCAACAGCCGCGAGACGATCTTGTGTTCGGGGCCGCTCTCCATGTGAAGCAAACCGCTCAGCATGGAGAGGCTCGCAACCTCCTCGAGCAACAAGCTTCGGTAGACACTCATCACTCACATGCTCGGGACTCGGGAGGGTTCATCTCACAAGGGGTCTCGGGCGATGGTTGCACAACGCAGCTGGAGCACACAACGACTTCGGTGACATACGCTCTACCAGCTTCGGACCGTGTCTGTGGCACTTTCCCTCAAGCTCTTGCGCCCCACCCTCCATGTATACCTCCACGGCTGCACCAGTAATCTCAATGCCCAAATTGAAGGCATTCTCGGTGAGACCGTACTCTTTACAAAGGTGCGGGGGAACCGGGAACATTTCCCCGCTCAATATCAACAACCCGGTGGCCCGAACGCATGCGAATCATCGCCTCATTCACCCGAGCTCCTCGTAGTTCACGGTGTTGTGCTGCCGATCACCGCGCCCAGAAGCCCCACAGAGAGGAGCTGGGGCACGCCCTCCTTGATGACCGTGACCCTCACCACACCGGGCACGTTCGCCAAGACGCACGGGACCAACGCCTGATGTGCCGACGGGGGGTCGCACCCCAACCGAAGACAACGAAGCCCCTGAGCACGAAGCCTCTCGCTCAATTTCCGGAACGCTGGCCAAGTCTTGGGCCGCGCCCTATGTCCAGGCAAGGCCACTGCCC